TCGAAGTTGTCAAAATGTCATTTATAAGAGACTCAAACTCACTGCAGAAGAGCAGTGTAGAAGGTGGAGTCTTTTACGGGAGACTGGAAAATCTTAACCATTCCTTGCAAAGTAAATAAATAAATTTTCCTAAAAAATTGCATGCATCTCTGTATGGTAAATGAGAAACCGATCCTTTTTTACAGTTTCATCTCACTAGATCATTCATTACAATGGCGCAAGGTACTGACGATATTCATACAAACATCGAAATGAATCAATGAATGAGTAAATGAGCATATAATCCCATCAGTGATGAATCGAACCAAATCAGGTTTCCAGGCAATGTGAAATGAATCAGAGTTTGTGAATGCGCGGTGCATATTTACTGTGGCACTTGAATGCATATTTAAGATATGCGTTAGGCTCCTCTACCATGAATGTCGAAATTCCATTTATAAATCTACTAATTTAATAACGGGTTTGCAATGATTCGGTATCCAAGGATTCGCATTAAAAAGTTCAATTACGTGCGACGATTTGACCAAAGCGATTAATGAAAAATATTAAATTTAGACTAAATTGGAAGTATAATTTAAGTGAATATAAAGGATCATATAAAGTTAATTTAATAAACCATGATGCATTGCTAATTTAAATAGGAAAGATAGCGGAAATTGATTTAAACTAAATAGTTAGAAAGTAACAATAGTACTATTAATCACAAGACCTAATTAGTTAGTAGAATCACTTTCTATTCGGACGGACTTAAGTTAAGTCTTTCCGCTGACTATAACCACGCCACATTCAGCTGCCCACTTCCGTCTTGTTGTTCCGAAGTTAGGGCAGTTGAACGAGATGACAAGAGATTGTTTTCATAACTGGGCTTCAGTATGAAGGAGTTAAAATTCACAGCTGGAAATGAATATCAAAATGAAAGGATGTTGGTCAAAAGGCCCTGAAGAGGCCTCTCCTCAAGCTAATAGAATTTGTAAGTAATCAATTCATTTGTTCAACGAGAATATACATTACGATCTTTAAATGAATGTAACTATCACTTATATGGCTATTCTTACAATGTTGGAATAAGTTATTAGTTGAAATACAACAAATTAGTAATAAAATAAGTACACGCTCGATATCCAATTATTGCACTTAACGCGTTGATGTTATCTAATAGTTTTATTCACACTTATCAATGTTGCATAATAGTTGATGAGAATGCATTGAGTAATTTGGCAAGAAAGCTGGGAATGCGATAATGTCTACCACTTGTCTCGAAAAAATCTTTCAGCTCACATGGGATTGAAGGGTAGGCTGACACGCGAATTCGGAATGGAAATGAATCGAGGATAAAGCCGTGACGAGTGGAAAAACTAATCAAAAAGATTAGCCGAGCGTGAAAGTAGTTCTGAGAGCGGGCTTCTAAAACGGAGGAGGGGGAGGGAGGGAGGGAGGGGGGGGGGATTTTGTGCCCCTGATTTCCCAAAGGGGATTTTCCGCCAGACACGTGCTCTTTATCAAGGGGGGGGGGACTTTTAGTCATTAGACGTACGGACACATGGCTCACCTGATTGAAACGTCATTTCGCGCCTTATCAAACCGCGAATCACTTGGATGACCCTAATTTGGCTTGTAAAAACTTACTTAAGTTCAAAAAAATCCGTGCTGGAAAGGTTTTATGGCCTGACCTCCTGATCAAAAGAACTCCAATTATGAAATCCATTTGGCCACGGGCAATTTGAGAGTAAATTGCAAAACGCCCCTAACACGACCCATTATTCTTTTGATCATTCATTAGAATTTTATGCGCAAACTTTTCAAAATTTCTATTACCCAAGTAGAACAATGCAGCATGGAAATTTCTTAATTTTTTCCGGCAAACTTGGAATAATCTATTTCCCATTGAAAAAATGACATTTCTGCTTACCTCGAAACAATATTTGTCAATAAATTTATTTTAATTAGTGTACTTTTGAGTGAATTTATATCTTTGCTTTAGAAAACACTATTATTAATCAGATTCGAATGAATAACACTTAATCCTATTAATTGGAACAATTATGTGGACTTATTACAATTATTAACGAAGGATTATCGCACGTTTCTCAAAAATATATATATATATTTTTTGAGCAACATATATCTACATAACCTATAATGAATAAACATCAATCGACTTTACAGGGACTGTTTTCGCTCGTTTTGGTTGGAGAATGAGAATTCCAGACACCTCCGCTTCTTGTGCTCATTCTATCGTTCCTTTCACCAAATTGATAATTTGGTGCTAATTCGACTTAGAATCTATTTTCTGGATTTACGAAAGGTGTAGTTGTCTGCTGTCAATGATAACCAGGGCATATGCTGTGACTCCAACGGTAGTTGCTTCAAAATGGTGAGACAAGTGTGAGTCATTGAACTGTCTTCCTTCATATGTATTTTGAATTTATTGCGATTTTACTACTGTTGATACCACGACAAAAAATAATAATTCGATTTAACTTAATTTTATTTTAAAAAAACTTACGTAACTGGAGAGAGCTTAAACAAAGTAGCTTGATCACTGGAAGCGAGTAAATTCATATTACTTCCAATGAAGAACCCTCCTATTAAACTAGATTTAAAGTTATAAAGTTGTGAAATCATAAAGAACAAATTTTATTTTTATTCGAATTTTATTCTTATCCCAAAATTAATTCAATATTTTTTTGCATTGTCATGGAAATAGCAACAGTAACCTAACAATTTATTTTGACCAATTTTGTTAAAGTCTAAAAAAGGAAAAAAAGCATATTTCCCTATTCGAGTAAAAGAGGTGAAGTTAGTGTCAAGTTTCCCCCGGGAAATGGGTGTGCGTCTTGTTTCTCAAATTGGTTAATCATCAAAGAAAATGAATTATCGAAGAAATAGGTAATTTCCTTATGTAAAATTCGACATCTTTCTTAAAGCCCAATTGATAATTCTATCAATCATGTGTTTATGTGGGTGATTCCAAAGAACCACTTTCCTACACAATTTCAATTTCAGTGCTTAGAAAATTATTCAATCAGCTGTAGTAAAAAAGCTAATTGCAAATCAAAATTTGCCCTGATAAGACTCAAAAATACCAGTTGGGAGGCCACAGACTACATGCTTCGTCTAAGGCTTAGATATCCATATCCAGCAGATGATTCTCAGTCAGTCATATCAATATGCCAACTCTCGCTGTTCTTGACACCCTGACAGTTGGGACAAACCCGTAAGCATTCTAGAGGTGCCCTGAACTTCGAGTCATAACTATCTACGGAAACTTCAGTCACTGTTGTGGGAAACGTAGTCTGGTTAAATTTATATTTGAGAAAATGGGGTGTGCGATAGACTTACCTTCACGTGGTGCACCCTGGGCAACGTATACTCATACGGCAAAAAAGTCTATAAACCGGTAGTTGTCTTCTGACTTCAATTACCATGATCTATTAACTGGCAGTTGACTTCTCTATGTCATATTCGAAGTCTATAAACCGGCAGTTGACTTCAAACTATCGGCAAAAAAATTCTATTAACCGGCAGTTGACTTCTGACTTCAACGCAAAAAGGTCTATTAACTGGCAGTTGACTTCTCACTTCACAAAAAAGTCTATTAACCGGCAGTTGACTTCTGACTACTCAAACGGCAAAAAAGTCTATAAACCGGCAGTTGACTTCTGACTGAAAAGGTCTATTAACTGGCAGTTGACTTCTGACTTCAAATAAAAGTCTATCAATCGGCAGTTGACTTCTCACTTCAAACTAAAGTCTATTACCTGGCAGTTGACTTCAAACTACCATGAGTAAGTCTATTAACTGGCAGTTGACTTCTGAGTTCAAACTATCATGACCCCAAGTCTATTAATCGGCAGTTGACTTCTGACTTCAATTACCATGATCTATTAACTGGCAGTTGACTTCTCTATGTCATATTCGAAGTCTATAAACCGGCAGTTGACTTCAAACTATCGGCAAAAAAATTCTATTAACCGGCAGTTGACTTCTGACTTCAACGCAAAAAGGTCTATTAACTGGCAGTTGACTTCTCACTTCACAAAAAAGTCTATTAACCGGCAGTTGACTTCTGACTACTCAAACGGCAAAAAAGTCTATAAACCGGCAGTTGACTTCTGACTGAAAAGGTCTATTAACTGGCAGTTGACTTCTGACTTCAAATAAAAGTCTATCAATCGGCAGTTGACTTCTCACTTCAAACTAAAGTCTATTACCTGGCAGTTGACTTCAAACTACCATGACCCACTGTATGGCATATTAGTCTACTTCCACAGTACTCACCTCACCTTTTTTCTACCTCTGAGTCTGTTTACTTCCACAGTACTCACCTCACCTTGGTTCTACCTTTGTGTTTGTCTCTTACATCTTTGAAACACCCTTCTATTCCCTCCCCCCTATCAACTTTTCTCAATTTGATGTTCCTTCCCCTCTGTGAAGCCTGAAGTCAACTAAAGGGGTAATGATAACCATCAAGATGCCTGCCATTTGATATAAACAAATATTTGAGAAAATCTTATCAATTTGGCAAGGAGGAATGTAAAGCCAGGCACTAAAATAAGAAGCAGCTGGACACAAGAAGGTAAGACGAGTGCAAGACTGGGAGGAAGCAACCTTTCTATCCAATAGTCGATTCCATCAAGGGATTGTGATGGAGGGTTTCTCGGGTTCTAAAGCCCCCCCCCCTCCCCTCTTCCCAATGCATTGTACTCCCATACTCTCCTCGTTGGTCGTCGCACTGACATGTACCTCCCTATTGGCTGGCATACTTGCTATCTTAGGCTAACTTTAATTGCACAATACCACTGGAGTCTTCTCCCTCCAAATTCTACTGGATTTGAGTAAATTATACTTGTGGTTCTGAACACACTTTGTCTTTGGAGGGTTACGTTAAAGGCCTTTAACGATGACAATTTAAGGTGTGCTAAGCTATTTACTGGTACTTTTTATTGCTATTTGTTCATTATTGACATTATAAGCCTTCTCTTTATTGATCATACCTCATGCTCATATGGCGTATTTGCACGAACGCGTTGGTCCAAGCGCGCACTAAAACAAATACAGCTTTTATCGCCACCACCTTTATCAGAGTTCAATATGAGCTGTCCTGTGCCTGTGAGCTGTGCAGGAATTCTCTGAGGCTGGTTGAAGTGAGTTGTGTACTTTGACCGAACAAACTAACCACTCTATACTTCAGACTACCTGGCCTCATCACATTTCTAAAGGTGAACTTACTATCTCCATGCAAATTAAACCTCACAGACGCATTCTCTTTGCGGTTGACGATTGTCCACACTGTCAACAGGCATTCCAGTGGTTTCTCAAATGGATGTGGCGTAGAGGAAATCCTTCAAAAACTCTATCACAAATCCCTGAGGGTGAAACTTCGAACAGAATAACCCCAGCAGATAAGTTGGAGCCAGAAGAGGATGCTATTACGCTCATCCATATTATCCCGCCAGAACTCACTGCCGGTTCAAATCATCCTTCTAAAACAGAAGTTCTAATCACGCCAAATAGAATGGAGAATAGTGAAGTAGGAGGTCAGGGAATGCCAAATTTCATGAAGGATGCCTTCACAGCCGGAAAGGCAGTATGTCAGGTGTTTTTGAAGATGGCGAAAGAGGCGGGGGCAACAAGATGTGATGCTTGTATTGCCGTTGATCGCCGACAGTCAATAGGCAAGGCGATTCTGCGCTCTGCAGAAATCAGAGGAGCTGATATGATTGTGATGGGATCGCATGGACATGGAGCCATTCATAGAGCAGTCCATTTTGGATCGGTGAACAAGTATATCGCTCGCCATAGTCGTATTCCCATCACTGTTATTCCTCCTGTACTTTTTTCTCCATAGAATGACCATTGCACTTATTTCCTATCTAGAAAATGATCTGCGATTTGCCAGTTGGCAACCAATCCAACAAATGTTCATCTTTTCCATTAAATGATGCGATTTTTGAATACTCACCAATCGATCCGTTTTATATTGATTTTGATATTGATTTACGATTTCTATTTCAAGATTGTGGTTAGTACTCAAAATCGGAAAATAAACTTTCACAACGCTTAAGTTTTAGAATAAAAAAACAGCGGGCTGAATATATTTCCCAAAAGTCTGTTCTTTCGACGAATTGGAGAATTTGATGAAGCGAGTTTACAATGATTTCGATAAAATTATAACTGTGCTTTGCGGTTTAATTGTACATGGCTGTGCAAACCACGAAATAGGAATGGTAAATAATGAGGAAACTATTTACAAGTAATGACAAATCATTCCTAATTTGCTTACCGATTATTTGCATTCGTTCATGGTTAAAAGTCATTATTGAAATTAAGTAGGACATGAATATGAACAAAAAATACTTTAGATTAGTAAATATATGATTTTGATCTTATTTAAATCAAAATTTGTGACAACATCAAGGAGAAAACCGTGAGTGAATATTCAAAGTTTCCTCAATCCAACTAGTTTAGTGATTTTCAAATAAAAATCGGGAGATGGAGTTTTCGGCACTCATCTTGGGCACATACAAGTTGCTTTGTCGTTCCTCCAATGGAAAATCCCTCATTCTGCTACCTTCCCAAGGGATGTTATTTGCGGTTGGTAGTCAAAGTGTTGAGATATAA